CAATTTCGAGGGCCGAATCTTCGAGTTGACGCATGAGACGGTCGAGCTGCGCTTGCGTCAGTGTCGCGAGAGTAATTTCAGCCATGGCGGGGGTGTCGGGCAAGTTAGCGAGAGCCTCTGTTGTGGCAGTGCGTGCTTACGAGATAGCACTACGAGCGGCGGTGCTTGGTCGCTGAGAGACGTCTACCCCCCCCCCCCCCCCCCAAATTTTGAGATAGTGGAGAAGCGAAGGTGTGGGTGCGGTCCGAGAGAAGATCGTAGGCTATGAATACCAAGTGTTACGAGTGCAATTGAGTGAGCGAGCGAGGATTGCACTATCGAGACAAGAATACAATGAGCGAAGGATTGAGCGAAGAATATATCGCGAAGCTACAGTGGTAACGGTAACGTGTGGAAAATGGGGTGCACGACGGGCCTAGTGCCGAGGTTGGGGATTGTCGAGGCAGAGGTCCGGAGCGTGGGTTACCAACCGAACCGTGAGGTTGGGTCGTGTCGTGAACAGTGGCGGGAATAGTGTCGAGGCGAATGTCGCGAGTGGTAACGGATTATTGTGGGGTGCTGTTGGCGGGAAACAGTGGTGTGCGCGCTGAGCAGGGACGCGAAGTAGGGAAAAGGAATTTTCCTTACAGATGTCAAGTATTTCAATTTGCAAATCTGCGTGTGCCACCGAGTGCGCTGGTATGGAGGCAAGTGTTATTCGCTATCATCCCGCCAATTTCTTGGGCGAACCGTCGTCAGGGATGCAGGTGTTGGGCGCGTGTCTAGGATTTTTTTTTTGCCAAAAGGAGGTGATGCCCAACGCAGCTTTTCCGAACCTCACCCCAAAAATGTCAGGTCTAGCCAGTGAGTAGCCAAGCCTCCGGCTCGGCACCTGCACAGTCAGCTTATTGGCTGCCTTGGACATTGGCAACCGTTCCCGCTTGTGGGAAATTGCCCAGGCTTGGCAATCAGGAAGGCTCTTCCTCTCTGACAGGGTCCCCTCATCGAGTGCTCTGATTGATGGGCCTCATCAGAAACCAATCATGGTCGAGCAGCGACCCCGTCCCCGTGACATCCTGAAGGCCACCCCATCAACATCACGCCCCTCTTGGGAAAAAGATGACCAGCCTGGGCTGGCTGGATGCCTTACAATGCTTTTCCGTCGCTGGCGAAATTCTTCCCTCCTATTCCCTGAATGCCTGCCTCAATGTTCCTGCAGTTTCGCCAGGCAAAAAATAGCTACATCTGACAGTAGTGGCTGTTTCTGAACTAGTTTCGGAAGCCATGGACTGATCAGTGAATGCCTAGTGCTTGTTCGCTGATGCGATCGCCTGGTTGATGGCTCTTCTGGACCGTTCTGTCCGTTCCAGAGCCGTTTGCATGAGCTATCAGACCAGAAGGCTTTCTCCCTGTGTGTTGCTCTTGCTCAGACTAAGTGCTTCCTCTATATGACCAGCCTGATCATTTCCTGAGTTCAGGACGGCACCGAGCTTCCATTCTGACATTTGAATTTCATAGCTTGACTTTCTAAATTATGTAACTTAATCCGATCCCGACCGGAGTTCTGCTGAATCGTTGCCGCGTATAGAGTAACAGTAGTGTAGTGTCTGGGGCGCTACTCTCGAGCGTATTCTTTATTCAAACTTTATGGTGAGCATTTCCGTCTATAGATAATCGTGACTTCCCGTTTTGTAGGATATCCCCTGTTACTGCTCTAAGCTCTGCATATCAGGCGCAGAGAAACCAGTCTCGCGCCAACGCGTTGGCTTTTAACCAACATCTACTTCGCACGACAACATCTCTGCTTCCTATAAAGCTTCCGGAGTTCAAACAGGGTAAAGGACTTTGAAACTGCTAAAAGGCAGTGTTTTTGTTTGGTTTAATAATCAACGTATTGCACACGACCCTGATTTGAGTTCTTACCAGCACCCAATCTCGACTCAAGGGTGTATCTTCGGAAGCTTGGCATCAGCGGCTGCAGCAGCCATCAGCATCAGAAGCAGCAGCCTCCTCCGCTTCCCCGCAAGTTCGAGTTTCTCAAGGGTGTTATGCACCAACAACAGGAGACACGGTCCATGGCTCCCAATCAACTCCAAGCACAACCGCTCCAGCATTGGCAGAACCAACCCCCGCAACAGCAGCAGCAGCCTGGTTTTATTTCTCAGCAAATGCCATCGTGTCAGCCGCCTTTCCAGCAGCAGAGCTCCAATCAGCGGCGGAGCCTTCCTCAGCAGCCACAGCAGCCGGCCACAGCACAGCAGCAGCAGGCAGCAACAGCCACAAGGCAGCTATCAGTCTTCGCAAATGCAATTTCAACAACAAACCACAGCAGGTTTCTCTACAAAACAACCCAGCAAGTACCAGCAGCCGACGATGTATCAGCAGCAGATGCAACAACCGCAGCAGCAAACCTTCCAGCCGCAACAGCAAGCGTTTCAATCACAGCAGCAGGCTTATCAGTCACAGCAGCAAGCGTACCCACAGCAGCCACAACCGCAGCAGCAACAACTCTACCAGACGCAGTCGCAACATCAGCCACAGGCGAATTTCCAGCCACAGCAGCTACAGCAGCAGTATCAGCAGCAAAGCATCTATACCCAGCAGCAGCAACCAGGACCAGTGCTTCAACCCAACATATACCAGCAGCAACCTCAGCCGCAGCAGCAGCAATATCAGCAAGCTCAGCAGCCTCAAGCGCAGCAGATTTATCAGATGGATCAGCCTCAGATGCAGCCATCCCAAACACCTCCTATGCCAACCGCGGTCACCCAACAGCTATCGGCTCCTCATCCACTACCAACCCATCAGCAGCAGCCGCAGCAGTTCCAACATCCTCAATACAACCCTCTGCAGCAGCAGCAGCCTCAGCCTCCCGCCGCCGCAGCGGCCTATATATTCCTCGCAAGTACCTTTGCCTTCGTTTCAGAGCCAAGCTCCAGTAGCAGCAGCAGCAGCAGCGCCTCCTCAATACAATCCTGCTGCGTCCGCCAGTGGCGGTCAGATGAACATAAGCCCTCCACCCCAGCAGACATTTCAACAACCACTGGCTCAGCCACAACCGCAGATCCAGGGGATGCCTGTCCAGGCGACATCTATGCAGGCGACGCCGATGCAAGCGACGGCAATGCAGGCGATGCCTATGCAAGCGACGCAAATCCACTCTCACGTGCCAAGCCAAGCTCCCATGCAAGGTACGCAGTAGCCCTCGGTCGGCACCGTTGTCCGTATCCCATTTTTCCTCCACCATTCCAGTGCACGTTAACGCGATCGCACGTCACAAAGTTCGCGCTCGCGTTTGTAGTGGTTGCGGGAGTTCTGTGCGTTAGACTCACTTTCCTGTTACGACACGTCGTGTGTGACTCATCCTGTGCGCAGTGGAGTCGGGCGCGTGCGGGCCGTTCACGGTGGCGCAGTGGCAGGAGCTGGAGCAGCAGGCGCTCATCTTCAAGTACCTCGTCGCGGGAGCCCCTGTTCCGCTGGAGCTCGTTTCCCGCGTGCGCTTGTCCATGCCGCCGCTCCATTCGGGCTTCAGACGTTTCATCCCATGGGAGCCTTCATGCCATGTATGTATGCCAAAGCAGGATGCTTTGTACAACGGCTTCATGCGATCATCATGATCGTTTCATGGTGTATTTTCACGTAAGGCGCCGTGTGGCAACGCCTTTTTACTGTGCCATGGTTGCGATAAGTTTGTTGCTTACAAAAGGCCTTTTTTTTTCTTTTTTTTTTGCGCTCCGTGTGTGGTTGCAGCTTTCTGGGGGCCGTCGATGCAAGTGGATCCGGAGCCCTTTAGATGTCGCCGGACAGATGGCAAGAAGTGGCGGTGCGCCCGCGAGGTGGGTTCCTCTACCTGCTTCGTATTCCCGGATAATGCCTTCCCTCTTCTCTTATTGCCTCCTTGCACTGCGTTCATGTCTATTTGTGTTCCTGAATGTTCCCGTGCCAAGTGCTTTAACATTCCCCTTTTTTTTGCCATTTCCCGTCCTGCCCTCGCTCCATCATGCCCACGCGCCCACGCGCTCGCGCGCACAGGTGGTGACGGAGCAGAAGTACTGCGAGCGCCACTTGCACCGCGGGCGCAACCGAGCGCGCAAGCTCAACGACAAGGCCACGCCCGGAACCTCCCTCGTGGCTGACGACGGGGAGACCACCCCCACAGCCACCACCGCGACCACTGCGACCATGGGCACTGGTGCCGCGGATGGATGTCTCACGAGCGATGGAGTGAGGGCTATGGAGTCTGTGGAAGATGGACGGGGCGCCAGCGCTGGTGGAATGGGGATTAGTGGTGGGGCTGGCGGGGTTGTCGATAGGACAGGCAGTCCGTCGAGTGGCAATAGCGGTGGAGATGCTGTGGCTGCGGAGTGTGCAACAGGAAGGGAGAATGATGCGTGTGGACGGGGTGCGGGAGGGCGCGTGGGAGGGGGTGGTGGTGCTGAGAAGAGTGGGGCAACGGACGAGGGGAATGGTGAGCCGTGTCAGGGGGTGGTAGCGGCGCCAGCCTCTGCTGCTGGTGCGGCTTCTGAGCCTGCAGGTGTCGTCTGTGTGCCTGCAGCTGTGGTGTGTGTGTCCACCACAGATGTGATTTCCCCAGTGCCTTTGCCCACAGGAGTGGTGTCTGTGGTGTCTACACCCACAGGGGCAGTGGCAGGCGGACACCCTCCTCCTCTTGCTCTCCCACCCCCTGCTCATGCTTTGGAGGGCCGCGCTCAGCAGGTGCCACAGCAGCACCAGCAGGAGCAGCAGCAGCAAAGGTTGCCTGCTGGTTCCCCTCTGGCTGGGTCCCTGCCTGGAGTCGTTTCCGTGGTACAGCCAAGCCCAAAACTAACCCAATCTGGAAGTTTCACGCAACCCAACACTCTCGCTTCTCCGCCTGCTGTCGTTGCTGCCATTGCTGGTGCATCGCCACAGCAACAGAAATTGGGGAGCATGCAGGGATCCATCAAGACTAGTGGGTGAGTGATGCCTGGGACATGGCATTTCCCTGCTGGTTAGTTCTCCTGGATTTCAGACTTCTAACTACCTGTCTGCTTGTGTTCCTTGTACTCTGTAGATCGACTGTGCATGATAGTGCTGCTGCTACGCTCATGAAAGGTGACAAGCCCATAGGCGCTGCTCCAATGGACGTGGATGCTCAGAAGCAAGGGAGCCAGGTTGTTGCCAATGGAGTGCTTGTTTCGCAGGCAAGATCCGATGCAGGTGCACGAAAGGAGGTGGAAGGGCCGACGGGTGTCAGTGGGAGCTGTAACGAGGAGGTTGTTATTGTTGATGGGAAGGACGCCTGCCGGTTGGTGCCTGGCGAGGGAGCGAAGATGGGCCGACTGACTCAAATGTGTTCCAGAGCATCGCCAAATGTAAGTTAAATTGTCGAGCCAGGCTTCCACGTTAGATAGTTTGATGCAGAGTGCCATTCGTTAGTAAGTTGTACTCACTTCTGCTTCCTTGTTGTGTTACAGTGTGTGCTGCCATCTCCATTTCATGGTTCGGATGGTGGGAGTGGTGCACAGAGCCCAGTGGACATCTCTCCACTTGGGCCTGTCCCGATTGCAGCATCAAATGAAGCGGTGAAGCATCAGTGAGCGATAACAGAAATATATTGTGCATCATATGTCAAGTTATACAAGACCCTATTAACTACACACCAATAGCGCCACACTTTGTGCCAAGTAGGCTAGAATGTGTCTAACTAGGTAGATAGATTGCTGATATTGGACCTGTTTTATTTATTCCCAGTAAGGCTGAATTGATTGCTCTGAAGTGAAACCAGTGTTCCTCATTCAGGTCAGTTAGCTTGGGACGCAATTCACTTCCTAGAACAATGGCGTTCGAAGTGCCCTTTACATTGTACGGCTTCTAGGCAGACAACCGTTGGTATTTGCATGAGTCAGGCTCAGGCAACCTCGGGAAGTTCGTAGCGTTCTGGTTCTGGCCGAACCCATCCTTCCGAAGCCACGTTTCATCACTTCAGTTCGGTTGCGTTGCGAGCGAGCCAGTTCCCTGATGCCAATCACACCATCCGGTTGGGCACCACAATTGGGCTTTTTGTCATATCCCAACCGAAGGTAGGCCATAACTACATGCCAGAATTACATGGCAACTATGGCAACCTGAAGACCATAGGCAGTTCAGTTTTAGTCAAGCTAGTGGAAAGTCCGCGTTGTATCGCGAACTCTCGAAGGTGAGTTATGTGCGACTCGCATCACTAGCATCCACCATATCTATTGCTATTCGCTAGATTTCTGCGTTTCATCCAGATGACTGCCGTCCTAAAAAAAGCACAGAATTGAGCACGAAGCGTCGGTTCCCGTGACAGCCTGATTAAGCTGCGACAATGGTGGCAAACACACGCCTAGAAATGTCAGTCACTAATTGCCGGATGCGGCTTAGCTCGTAGTGTTCCTAGCCAGCCGAACGGCTCCAGTCTTAGGAACATCCGCGTCAGGCTGCTAGCAGCGCGACGGCTGGATCCGTCCATTCTTAATCCGCTTTTGTGAAGGACCAGCTGCAATGTCGTTCTTCTCGAGGCTTATAAAGGGGTCGCGTGTATCGGAGGATCTGGACCAGGAGTACCCCGTGAGGAAGGACGTCGACGTCACTCAAGTCAGCAAGTTCCGTCCGCGGGTAAGGAGAAGAAAATGAGTTTTATAAGAGGCAATGAGTCGTAGAGGAGGAGATTAGTCCTTGAGGAAGAAAAAGAGCTTCTTAACGAGTACGAAGGAGCTTAGTAGGGGAGACGATCCGGCATCCCGTTCTGACTAATTCCGTGCATCTTCAGGCTAATGACGAAGCTTTCCGGGCCGTCAGTCAATTTCAAGAGACTACCCGTCAACCGCATCTGAGCGTCAGTCAAGCATGTCAGACCGTCAGACAATCAAACCTGGCCGTCAATGAATGATATCAGACCGTCAGTGAACTATACGATGTCGTCAGGCAACCACATTCGGCCGTCAATTTATCATACGAGACCATTAGTCAACCATCGCCAAGACTGACGATCGCCCCAGGCCTTCAGCACCAAGCACTTAGCATCACTAGCGTATCCTCTTCATGCTTCCATCCCTAACCTCTCCTCTTCTCATCTTCCACCTCCCCCCCCCCCTCTTCCCCTCCCTTCCACTCCCTTCCGTCCTTCGCTCTCTCTTCGTCGCCCCCTCTCTCTCTCTCTCCCTCATCCGCACCCCCCGTTACTATCACACAATGCTTGCAGGTGAAGAAGCGGCTGTCAGCGGAGAGATGGGAGGCGTGTCAAGACGAGTTCGGCCGAGTGTGGGCCATTGATGCTGCGCTCAAGCACATACAGCGTGGGGTGCGTGCTTATAGCGAGGGGTGTGTGCTTATAACGAGGGGTGTGTGCTTAGCGAGGGGTGGGTGCTGAAGCAAAAATAAGGGGGGGAGTCAGATGAACATGGGGCGTCTCGACCCTCTCACGCATATCTTTATACCTCGCCCATTTCCTGTAGTGAGGCAATTTTTGAGGTGCCTGAAAGGGCGTCTCGACCCTCTCATGCGAATCTCTATGCCTCGCCCATCCCGGCAGGGCGTGAAGCCGAGCATTCGAGGCGAGGTGTGGCCGTTCCTCCTGGGGCTCTACTCGCCCAACAGCACCCACGAGAAAGAAGGGTGGTATTGAGACGTCTCCAAACCACCTTATTTCAAGTGTCTCGGCCCTCTCATGCGTATGTCTCTACCTCTCCTATCCCGGCAGGGCGTGGAACCCAGCATCCGAGGCGAGGTGTGGCCGTTCCTCCTGGGGCTCTACTCGCCCAACAGCACCCATGAGGAGCGGGACGCCATGAGGGAAGCACGACGGTGAGACCACCTGTGCAGTGAGAAAATCTACTGCTAAAATGGCTCCATCTTGCAGCTGTTCCCCGTGGTATGAGTGAGGATCCCCGGATCCCCTCACATACGGGCTCCACTCGCCCACCAGCAGCACCCACGAGGAGCGGGACGCCATGCGAGAAGCACGGCGGTGAGACAAGGGGGGCACGCCGGCATGCCGTGAGGGAAGCATGTGATGAGGGAAGCATGTGATGAGAGAAGCACGTGATGAGAGAAGCATGTGATGAGATAGGCATGTGATGAGATAGGCATGTGATGTGGTGATGCTGCTGCTGCTGCTTCTAACCCCCCTTCTCCTTCCCCTCCGTCCTCCTCCCCTCTCCCCCCTCCTCCGCACTCCAGGCAGTGATTTCTACGCGCGGTTAAAGCAGGAGTGCACGATGTGGATCCGCTAGTGGACAGTGTGGCCTCCTCACTTCCCTCTTATGCCCACTCCCTCTTTCCCCCCCTCCGCTCCCCCTTCCCCACTCTCCCAAGCAGTGATTTCTACGCGAGGTTGAAGCAGGAGTGCAACGAGGTGGACCCAGTGGTGGGCAGTGGCGTGGTGGTGGACTTCCCCCGCGTGCTCGAGGACGGCTCAGACGTCCCCCTCCCCTCCTACTATAACGGACCCCACATTGACGACCCTTCTTCCACACACGCCGCCTCTGCTGCTGCTGCTGGTCTAGATTTGAATGGAGGAGGGGAGGGAGGTGGAGCAGCAGGGAGGGGCGGTGGAGAGGGGCAGAGTGCGGTGCTTCTGACGGAGCGGGAGAGGCTGGTGGGGCGGGTGGGGGAGGAGCGGGTGCGCAAGTGGCGGCTGGGGCTGCATCAGATAGGAGTGGACGTGCAGAGGGCGGATCGCACGCTCGTGTTCTATGAGGAGGAGGGCAACCGGTCGCGCCTCATGGAGGTGCTGGCGGTCTACTCGTGGTTCGACCCCGATGTTGGGTACTGCCAAGGTGGGTGTCTGGGGCTCCTGGGGCGTGTGGGGCCTCTGGGGCGGCTGGGGCTGCACCAGATAGGAGTGGACGTGCAGAGGGCGGATCGCACGCTCGTGTTCTATGAGGAGGAGGGAAATCGGTCACGCCTCATGGAAGTTTTAGCCGTGTACTCGTAGTTCGACCCTGATGTTGGGTATTGCCAAGGTGATTGTTGTGGTGGGTGCTGCCAAGATGAGATGGGGGTTGGAGATAATTCATGGGTGATTTTTGTGGTGGGGTGCTACCAAGTGAGTAGGCTGATTTTTGTGGTGGGATGGGTGTTGGCCGTGTATGTACTCATGGTTGGACCCTGACGTGTGGTACTGCCAAGGTGAGATGGGGGAGGATGTTGCATAGGTGGATTGGGGATGAATGATTGATGTGGTGGGTGGGGGGGGGGTACTACCACAAGATGGGATGGATCGGGTGATTGTTGTGGAGGGTTGCCTTCCCTGTTCTCCCACCCCACAACCCTCCGTCACGTGGAATGCAGGCGTGAGCAACCTCATGTCACCCAGCACTCTTACCTTCCTCCTTCCCTCCTTTAGCTTTTCACTCCCTACCTCCACCACCACCCATTCCAATGTGATTAGGCATGAATGACCTTATGTCACCTGTCATCGTCATCTTCCCCTCCCTCCACTACTCCTTTTTATTTCCCCCCCAACCTGGCCCACCTTTCTCCCATCTCACCACGAGCAGGCATGAGTGACCTTATGCCTCCCTTCATAGTCATCTCATCTTCCCCTCAGCCGCAGATGTCATGTCCATTGCATCAACTCTCTCCCTCCCTCTCTCCTCCCTCCCTCCCGACCTCCCTCCCGGCCTCCCTCCCCACCAACCCATCTCACCACGAGCAGGCATGAGCGACCTCATGTCGCCCTTCATCGTCACATTCCCCAACAACGCCGATGCCTTCTGGTGCTTCGAACGCCTCCTGCGCCCCATCGTAAGTCCAAGGAGAATGAGGCGAGGAGGTTGGGTGGGGGGGGGGGGGAGAGAGGGAGGGGAGAGAGGGAGGGGAGAGCAGGAGGGGAGAGAGGGATGGGAGGAAGGGAGGGGAGGGAGGGAGGGGAGGGAGGGAGTAAACAGTGGTCTTGCATGTATCTCATTATGTGTGTTCATGTCATCTTGCCTGTGCCTCCCTGGCCTCTTGCCCATGCATGCACCGTGCAGAGGAGCGACTTCATGGGCACGTCAGCCAGCATAGGCGTGCAGAAGGAAATCGACAATCTCAAGAATATCACCCGTGTGCTCGACCCCGAGCTCTTCGCTCATTTAGGTACCTACCGACTCAACTAGATAGGTGCTAGGTGAGTACTAGGTACTAGGTAGGTAGGTACTATGTTCTATGGTAGGTACTAGGTAGGTACTAGGTACTAGGTAATTACAAGGTACGAGGTACTAGGTATTAGGTACTAGGTACTAGGTACTAGGTACTAGGTACTAGGTAGGTGCTGCTCAGTTAGCCACGTGTGTGCACCCACACAAGTACCACTTTCAAGAATATCGCCTCCATACTTGACCCCAGCTCTATCTCCCTCTCTCCATCCCTCCTGGATTCTACCCACCACCTCCCTCCATTCCTCCATTCCCCGTCATCTCATCCCCCCTGCAACGAGATATGGGCGGGGCGGGCTCCATCTTCCTCTCTCTGTGCCCACTGCCCCATCATGGCCGTCCTTCTATGCCACCTACCTACCCCTGGTTTTCATTCCCACCCAATCCGCCAACCCGCCAACCCGCCAACCCGCCAACCCGCCAACCCGCCAACCCGCCAACCCGCCAACCCGCCAACCCACCAACCCACCAATCCCCCAATCCCTACTTATGCCTCTTGCAGACGAGATAGGAGCGGGTTCCATGTTCTTCACAGTGCGACCCATCATGGCCATGTTCCGCCGGGAGCTCTCCTTTGCTGACTCCATCTACTTCTGGGAGGTACCACTGCTTCTGCCCTGCTTGCTATTTTTAGCAAAAACTGCAATTTTCGGAAGGTACCGCACTGCCTGGTTTGCCAGTAAAGTCCTGAAGGACTTGGAGCACTGTCCTGTTCTGACTGCATATGCTTCTGAGAATTTGGGAGGTGTTGCCTATTTTGGGAAGTACAATATTTCTCCTGTTTTAGCTTACTTAAGCCTGACTCGCCAGGTCCCTTTTTGGCCTGTCCTGTCCCATAATAGCCCTGCACTCTCCCTCACCACTCCATCCCCTCTTCTCTATCCCCTTCCCCTCCAGAGGATGTGGGCCTGGGACTAAGACGCCCAAGGTGCACTGCACACTCTCCTTATGCCCTTCCCTCGTCCCCTATCCCCTTCTCCCCATCTC